GAGAAAACATTTTTATCTTTGCAGAGGAGGCATGGAATCCCCATCATACCCTAATTTCGGCACATTAGATTTCTTATTTTTGAGGGAAGGAATAGGCATCAATCCCAGTTTCTCAGTCGACGTCGAGTGACTCACGCTTCTTTATTGGTCGCTGAAAGCGCGTCAGGGGACGCACCCTCAGCCTCTCGCGATGTAAGAATGGAATACATCCGAATTATGAAGATGGCTTTGAAAATTTTCCGTGGTTCTTTGTTGGTATATTTCATTTATTTATTTTCTGCGATCCTGAACGGTCCGCTTCCGAAGGTTCTAGCGCCGAAAGCTGGAGGATTTGGAATTCATACATTCAAGTCGCGGGTGGGGATGCAGCCGAAAGGCACGGTAGAACGTTCTTCCACGGCAGCGCCAGGGATCTTTAGGTCTCGCGCGAAAGACCGTGGGCTTCCCTGGGGAATTCGCAAATTGGAAGTTCTGATCGACGCGGAGGAGGTTGCTCCCTCTCGCCACCGATTCGCCTCCTACGATGGGCAAGAGGAAAAACCCCGCGTTTGGCGGGGACGCGCATCTCCCTCTCTCTCTTCCATCCGTCCGTTTGCGATTGGAAGCAAGTCAGAGACCCACCTGACCCGAGTGAACCGTTTCTTCACTCGGTAACTATTCTATATTTAAATGAAAAAGACTGCTCAAATACCATCTTCCTGTAGTCGTCCGCATGTAATTTGTGACACGTGAATCTCAATGCGCACCTCTAGTACTTACGTAGTACTTCTGGTGCGTGGGATGCACTCTCGTTATCCAAACATTGGAATGTTCCCACCTTCGACCGAAAATGTTGCCTGTTGCACATTCGGCGGAAAGTGCCCTCTAGATGAAGGAGACGGAAGCCTCATCTCGACTATTTGCAGTCTGTATGCAGGAGCAACGACGGCGTCGCAAATCCGCGCGGATACTTGTGACGTCGTTCGGCTCGTACGAAGAAATCCGAGAGCCCTGCAACGCAAAAACGGCGTTGCTTGGAGTGGGCTTCGGTTGCGTCGTTCCCGGAGCGCGAGACCGAACGATCGGAAACGGAACGGAAAATGCATCGAAGGGGGCGAAGCCCTTCTGGATTTTCGCATCTTCGCGGGTCGGCGAGCGGGAAAGCGTCGAACTTGTGAAAGGTCAGGCAAAGATGCGAGATGATTTAGTAGTCTTATGCTCCATCTATTTACTTATTTACTTATGCTCCATCTTAACAGATGCTGTCTGTTACGGGAATGCTTCCCATCTTTCGCGAGTAGTCGGGTAACGAGTAAACAGTCTCTTCACTCAGTAAACATCCTTTATTTAAATGAAAATGACTGCTGAAACGACTGCCCATCTTCCTGTCGTCATCCTTATGTAATTTGTGACACGTGAATCTGAATGCGCACTTGTATTCATGTCATCGTGATGGTATCCTTACGCACTTATCGGGGCCGGTTCGAGGGAATGGCACTTGAAAACTCGGGGAACAAAGATAGACCTTACCCTTTACAACGTAATCCTTGTTGCAATGGAGAAAAAATTTGAATTTCGCATACATTTCCTCAAAGGAACTAGCAAACGATGTTTCCATCGAACCTGCCAAAATTCGTTTTTTCATTGCAATTTTGGGTTTTGTCAGCATGAAAAATATTTAAAAAAAGAAAAATTTTGCAACAACCATAACTTGTAAAAGGTCAGGTAAAGATGCGAGATAAATTAGTGACACAACACACGCTTGATGAACATTTTTAGACGATAAACATAATTTTAAATTTAAGAAGTTTGCGACGAAATGAGGCGAAAGGTCTTCTGCACGGCTGTGGTACTGACCCAATTTTGCGAATGAGCCACCAGCTGCTAATAAACCTGCACTCGTAAAGTATTTTCTACCCAATCGGTAACGTGAATTTTGCTCCTGAAATCCCCATTTTCACACGCAGTGAGTCTTCAGCAATCTTATGCACAAAGTATTCCAGTATGTTCCATACTTGGGAACTCGATGCGATGAAGGGTTAGGTGAGTTTCGTGCATTTCACTCGCAAAATCGGAGCTCGTCAGGTGCGTCGAAGGCTCGTGATTACCATCGTTAATAACGTTACGTGAGGTTATCCACAGCGATACACAAAAGCCGTGGGAACGTATTCCTCAGCTGTTGAAGTTTGCTAAGTTGAACAGGTGAAGAACGGAATTGTATTAACAGTGAAGTTCGCATCTGGAATTCGGTGACGTCCAAATGTCCTGCTTGATCTGGTCAGGATCTCATGGAGACGGAGTGCATGAGTCGCGATCAGGTCATTAGGGGTGATTGGGGCAGAGGGGGATGTCGCAGAATTCCCATTTCGTCGCTGCGTCGTCGACGAAGCACCATGGTCGTTCTTTGGATGTCGGGTTCCTGCAGAAGTTCCGTTCCGCCGAGGGATTGTTTCTTAGGAAATGCCCTTCGTAAGTTAGGTCTGGTTTGAAGTCATCCAGCTTTCCATATGGTTGGGAATCCCACCGGAGACAGTTCTTTCCGGTCGCAGTCTTTTTCATCGTCCCCATGTATTCCGTCCCGTTTCCGTCTGTCGGCATTCCAGATTTCCCTTCGCCGATTTTTCTGTATCAGAGTGAAACGAGTGATATCATTTATGGTACGAATTGCAGGAACCAAAAAATCCACAATATTACAATTGCCGTAAATATACCTTTCTTTACCAAACAACCGCCCTCTGGGTTTCCATGATCTATTTTTGCGAATGACATTCTGTTCTATTTTAATAGTTATCGAAATGCCAAATATCGAAACAATTTTGCCGTTCGGGAACGCTCACGGAGTATGAAACAGGCGAGCAAATCGGTAAACATCACTTCATACCTTCTGAAGCAGATTTCATGTCCTCTTCGGAACAAAAAGGAATTTTGCACAGGTTCNAAAGGCACGGTAGAACGTTCTTCCACGGCAGCGCCAGGGATCTTTAGGTCTCGCGCGAAAGACCGTGGGCTTCCCTGGGGAATTCGCAAATTGGAAGTTCTGATCGACGCGGAGGAGGTTGCTCCCTCTCGCCACCGATTCGCCTCCTACGATGGGCAAGAGGAAAAACCCCGCGTTTGGCGGGGACGCGCATCTCCCTCTCTCTCTTCCATCCGTCCGTTTGCGATTGGAAGCAAGTCAGAGACCCACCTGACCCGATTGAACCGTTTCTTCACTCGGTAACTATTCTATATTTAAATGAAAAAGACTGCTCAAATACCATCTTCCTGTCGTCGTCCGCATGTCATTTGTGACACGTGGCACATTCGGCGGAAAGTGCCCTCGAGATGAAAGAGACGGAAGCCTCATCTCGATTATTAGCAGTCTGTATGTAGGAGCGACGACGGCGTCGCAAATCCGCGCGGAGACTTGTGACGTCGTTTGGCTCGTACGAAGAAAATCGACTGCCTCGAGAGCCCTCCACCGCAAAGTGTTGCTTGGAGTGCGCTTAGGATCCGTCGTTCCCCAAGCGCGAGGCGAACGATCGGAAACGGGAACGGAAAAAGGCATCGAACGGGGCGAAGCCCTTGCGGATTTTCGCATCTTCGCGGGTCGGCGAGAGCGAAAGCGTCGATTCGCTAGTGTCGTCGGAGGCAGTGGCGGCTCGTCGGGGTAGGCACGGTAGGCCGGGCCAGACAAGAAAGAGAGCACCGAGAGATGACGTGAATTTAAGTCATTTTTACTCCATCTTAACTTTTACTCATGCTCCATCTTAACAGATGCTGTCTGTTACGGGACTGATTCCCATCTTTCGCGAGCAGTCGGGTAACGAGTAAACAGTGTCTTCACTCAGTAACTATCCTTTAATGAAATGAAAATGACTGCCCATCTTCCTGTCGTCATCCTTATCGGGGCTGGCTCGAGGGAATGGCACTTAAAAACTCAGGGAACAAAGATAGACCTTACCCTTTACGGCGTAATCCTTGATGCAATCGAGAAAAACATTTGAATTTCGTATGCATTTCCTCAAAGGAAATGCAAATGATGTTTCCATCGAACCTGCCAAAAATCCTTTTTTCATTGCTATTTTTGGTTTTTGTCACCATGAAACATTTTTTTGGAGAAAGAAAAATACTGCGACAACTATAACTTGTAAAAGGTCAGGTAAAGATGCGAGATAAATTAGTGACACAACACACGCTTGATGAACATTTTTAGACGATAAACTCAATTTTAAAATTAATAAGTCTGTGACGAAATGAGGCGAAAGGTCTTCAGCAGGGCTATGGAACTGACCCAATTTTGCGAATAAGCCCCCAGTTGCTAAGAAACCTGCATTCGTGAAGTATTTCCAACCTAATCGGTAACGTGAACGATGCATCAGAAATCCCCATTTTCACACGTGAGTCTTCAACAATCTTATGCACAAAGTATTCAAGTATGTTCCATGCTTGGGAACTCGATGCAATGAAGGGTTAGGTGAGTTTCCTGCATTTCATTCGCAAAATCGGAGCTCGTCAGGTGCGTCGAAGGCTCGTGATTCACCGTACCATCGTTAATAACGTTACGTGAGGTTATCCACAGCGATACACAAAAGCCGTGGGAACATATTCCTCAAATTTTGAAGTTTGCTAAGTTGAACAGGTGAAGTACGGAATTGTATTAACAGTGTAGTTCGCATCTGGAATTCGGTGATCTGGATTCACCGTTTCATCCCATTCACAGCAATAATTCCGAAGCATTTGGACGTACGAGATCTACAATGTTGTAAACGACCGGGTGAATCACAAATGTCCTGCTTCATCTCGTCGGGATCTCATGCAGAATGCATGAGTCGCGATCAGGTCATTAGGGGTGATTGGGGCAGAGGGGGATGTCGCAGAATTCCCATTTCGTCGCTGCGTCGTCGACGAAGCACCAGGGTCGTTCCTTGGATGTCGGGTTCCGGCAGAAGTTCTGTTCCGTCGAGGGATCGTTTCTTAGGAAATGCCCTTCGTAAGTTAGATCCAGCTTTCCATAGGGTTGGGAATCCCACCGGAGACAGTTCTTTCCGGTCTTCGTCTTTTTCATCGTCCCCACGTATTCCGTCCCCGTTTCCGACTGTCGGCATTCCAGATTTCCGTTCGCCGATTTTTCTGTTTTAGAGTGAAACGAGTGATTTCATTTATGGTACGAATTGCGCTAACCAAAAAGCCAACAATATTACAATTGCCGTAAATATACCTTTCTTTACCAAGCAATTGATCTCTGGGTTTCCATATTCTATTTTTGCGAATGACACTCATTTATATTTTATTAGTTATCGAAATGCCAAATCGCGAAACAATTTTGCCGTTCGGGAAAGCTCACAGAGTATGGAACAGGCGAGCAAATCGGTAAACATCTCTTCATACCTTCTGAAGCAGATTTCATGTTCTCTTCGGAACAAAAAGGAATTTTGCACAGGCTGATCTTGCGTTGCTTGGTTTTGCACCAAGGTCCATCATAAGTTTTGTCTGGATTCCGACAGTAGTTATGGCGACTGTCCAATTCGACATCGGGAAACATCAGCAGGTATTGCAAAGCGGAATTCCTGTCGGGGGTCATGGCCAGCCATGGCTCGCACTTCTCCCCGTCCGCCGCCTCGTCGACTGACCCCGCGTACTCTGACCCCTCTTGTGTGATCTTGCATTCCAGGGGCTCTGCCGACGGGTGAATAAATGAGTGACTTCCTGAATGTGTGACTTCATGGAAGAGTGACTTCATGAAAGAGTGACTCCATGAGAGGATAAATGGGTTTCTTCGGAAAGGGAATCCATGATTTTTTGGTATTTATAGAAAACATACCCTCGGCAAATCAAATTTCACTGAAAGATTTTGATGGCAAGTAATATAGCAAACAAATAATCGGTTATTATGGCCATGGACTAGACAAGCCGCACCAAATGGAAATGCCACTCACTGCATATAATTTAATGTGATTTGCGGCATTTTCTAGAGGATTGAGAAAGCTTTGCTATGTCGTATTATCATTTCAAATATATTCATCATTTCAAGAAATTCAGGTGCTCACACGTTTTACAAACAAACCGCGTCTTTTTTGTAGCAGTGGGAATGGACATGCGGCGACAGAAGGTCCCATTGCAGCATAATTCCGTTTTCTTATTTTCATTTGAGGTCCAGAATGTCTTAAACAGTTGAAGGCGTTTGATATCGAGTACAGTATTTTGAAGTTAATTCCTTATTCCTCTTACAAATGCTGTGATCCGCATGAAAGTATACTACATCTGCCAAAAACAGTACTGGAGGCCTCCAAGCAAGAATTTCAGCCACTTTCTCGCGGTGGTTCCTAGGCTGAGGATATAATTTCTTTCGAACGGGAATGGGTAGGCCCATGCCTCAGGTCAAAAGGGGGAGCTGCGGGGGGGGGGGGGGGTTTGAGGCTGAGGAAAGGCAAAACTTTTAAAATTTGGTTTTCCCCTTATTCCATATTAAAGATGTACTCTCATGAGGAATATTCTGATTACCTCTGGAACCACGACAGAGTGGGATGTTACAGTACTCCCAGCTGAAATTGGTGGACACAAAGCACCAGGGCCGCTCTTTCAACGCTGGATTCCGGCAAAAGTTTTCCTGTCCCATTTCAAAACCCCTTTGAAAAATCTTTGTGGCCTCAGGGGATCCAGTGTGGTGGTCCTCGATGGAGACATGGGAGGAGATGAAATTCCAGTCGATCTTGAGAAATTTTGTCCAAAGGAGGCAATTCCTCCCCGATTCCGTTCGGTTCTCAGAACCCCTGTATTCTTTGCCCATTTCCGTCATTCGGCATTCTGGGTACATGCGTGGAGCTTCATCTCCGTCTGTAATCGATGTTTCGAAGCGGTGTGCTACACAATAGAGGGTAATTCTACCTTCATTTGATCGAAAGGAATATCAAAACCCGAATGTCAAAATCTGAAATAAATGTGATATTATCCATTTCACTGTAGTTCTCAGTGAGATTCGCGCGTCAAGCAGAATGCTAGGCACTGGTGGCAATATACGGGGTGTCTCATGAGTAGGCATCAATTTTTTTCTTACATACAAGAAGCATTCACTACTTTCTAGTTGAAACTTGTATGGAACAGTTAGTGTAATCTTTTATTTTGTAATTAGCACTGTGACGGTCTTGACGACCTTTCTCGTCGGACCTCCCTTTCGGAGTACTGAATCCGGAACGGTGGGGTACTGGCGAGGTCCGTCTTCCAATCCGCGAACCGGATGCCGACACCTGGGTTAAATAGCTGTACTATGGGATCGGAGTGAACCCAACAAAACGCACCAGATCTCAATTGATCTTTAATGCAAGCCACTGGTTTCCGACACCAATACAACAGATTTTATTTTTTAGACCAATCAGGGCAATCCGGCCCGTCGCACTACCAAAGGAATTCAAAGCAAAATACTGTCAGATATATCAGAATAGGGCGAAAGCCAGGCGTGAACGCGGACAAAGGGACAGGGCAATACCCAAGCTCGTTGCCTCGGTTAGCGAATGCGGTCCGGACGGTAATTCGGTACGTGAGAATATTGAACCTTGTTTCCTCGGTTTGCGAATGCAGTCCGTAGCTTCTCGAATAAGTTTTTTTTTAAAATAAAAATAGGAGGTAAATGTATGATGGGCTCCGCATGTAGTGGACCAACACTTGACTCCCGCCCACTATGGTGAGATCCTCCAAACACCAGGGCTGGCAGAGTGCAACACCCTGGTGGAGCTGATGTCGTAGCCATGGGAAGGTGTCCTATGGCTACAGTGCGTCGACGTGTCTGGAAACCAGATCCGTCTTCGCGCCTGGATCCCTCCCTTTTTCAGGTTTTAGCTTTTATGTTTTAGATATATCGAAAGACAGAGCGGCCTTTACTGAGAATCAACCTATACTTTAATAGGTTAGTGAGTCAGGGCTGGTTAACTTTAAGTCCACTTGTTCAAGAGTTTAAGAGATTTGTGTCCTGGCGTGAATTACGTGAATTTACGTGAATTACGTGAATTTTTTTTTAGTGCAGGGGTGCCCTAGGAGGTGGCCCGCAGGCCATAGCTTTGAACACCCTTGATCTAGTGTACAGTATTTACGTTTTTTAATGGAACATTTATATTTACATCCTATCAGAAGTGCGTTAGGGGATGGAAGACTCATTGAAAGGAAAGATGGGATGAGGGATTAACCTGACCGAAAACACGCACAGTGAGACCAACCTACAGCCTAGGAGCGGACTCCACCTGAAGATCTCCGGTCTCGAATAAGGGTCACGCTCGGGTAGTCATGCCCACGGGGTTCTACCCCCCTAGGGGATGTGCACTATTCCCCCGCGTTTAGCTCCGAGACAGCGTTTCCCAGGATAAAGGGGAAGACATTCCTGATTACGATAATAGGGGTGGTACACGGGGGACCCATCCTTCCTGTACACATCCGCTGCAGTCATAATAAAAGGTCACCGGTTTGGGTGTAGTAAACAACGCGGCGCTAGAGGCGCCATCTCACGTCAACCAAGGAAATCTAAATTTCCTGGATCTGTGCCTTGAACACAGATCAACTACACACAATGGGAGAAAGACATCGTTACTGCACTAAACATATTCAGCTTCTATTTCAATTAATTTTTTTTTTAAGAGTGAACCATGGCTGGGTACCTGAGTTAGGAGGGAAGGCGTAAAATAGGGGTTTGGATGGAAGTTTACGAAATTGTTGTGGTTGTACAGAGCAAAGTTACTTTCAAGTTACCTCCAACGCGCAAAACCTGAAAGTAAAAAATTGTTTGTTTGGTTTAATCAAGGACAGACTTGACGCCACGTATTGATAGTCCTTGGATGAGCTATGAGATCGCATCACTGATAATGTCCAGCGCATATCCCGAGGTATCTGTGCGGAATGAATGGATCGTTTTGTTCAACGTGTCCCGACGTGCATTGAAAGAAGAGGTGGACATGTCAACCACTGAACAGAACTTCAACGATTACTCTAAGTGTTCCATATAAGTTTCAACTGGAAAGTTGTGTATGCTTCTTGCAATTAAAAAAATATATTAAATCGGTACTTATGTGACATCCCGCACTTTGCACCTCTTTCAAAATGAATAGCATGGTTTCATCATGTCTTGAACTCCCTTTATCTCTTCCTTATCGGACGAAATCTAACGAATAATCGCTAATTAAGTGTTTAATAAAAATTAATCCTACCAAAAATTGGACGGGATTACTATTAATACTTTTCGAAGACAACTGTCGCCGGTATAGATGGGAAGATCTAGGAAGACTTTTTTAAGAAGATTTTAGACTGAATGAGGAGGAAACTCTCAATCCAAGAAATGAGTTTCCTCGGCATGGAGTAAATACACTGCAGCATCACGCCTAATTAATTGGTGAAACAAGTTAAAGAAGACGAGCAGCACTTCTAGGTTAGCACTTCCACAAATTCAAGAAGATTTTGGAGAAATGATGGAACCCTGGAGACACTCGCTCCGGTTGGAGTAGCATGAAATTCTGCTGAGGTGAATGAGGCAAGGTAATATCGATTTTCCAAGGTTCTTGATGCAATTACTAGTATATTTTAATGCATATTTACTTGTAGCCTGACAACCCAATCGTCCAACAATCTAAAATTGCCTCTTCAATAAATTAGGTATCTCTACGTGTGGGAGTAGATATGGAGAGATAAAGTAAGGGAAACCGATGCAGGGATCGATGAGAGTGGGTTCAACTTTTACATTCGGAGACGATTTGGAAGAGATGTGATCTGGGAGAAAGCAATAGTAGAAATACCGATTTCTGACAACGATTCTTGCAATTGGCCATGATGGAGGTCTTTTGTCCGGTTTGATGTGGGGATCATACAAAACTACAATAGTCCTACTAAATTCATTGGATCACCTCATGACCGTCTTCGAAAGAGGGATTTGTCTTTGTCATGGATTCCATCGCAAGGAAGAAGCGAAGCAGGTCATTGGTTAAAAAGGGCACAACATCTACCTTTGCCATCATACTGCACAGGCCTTTCCTGAACCCTCAACATCATGAAAGTATGCATTGGATGCGACACCCGAAGCAACATAACATCACTGGTACAAATAACGGAGGAGAGTATCCGAGAGGCTACAGCCGAGAAATGTCAAGGATATGCGCGCCATTCCAAAGATTTCGATTATGCCTACTTGGATCGCTTAGCAATATATTATTAATATAATCCCGACGAAATTCACCGCATCGATGGCTCACAGTCCTTGTGAGATTGGTTTTCATACTTGAATTTTTGCTGGCGTGGCATTTTTCATGTTTTTTCTTCATTGGAATTCCGTACTCTTCATTCGATACTATCCGTCATGACATGTAATTACACCAATAACAATTATTAATGTGGAACTCCTTTTGCGTTAACTTACAGGTATTTATTGTACACGAGAACAATTCGTGAATCTAAGCGTTAAGCTTTCATCCATTGTAAAGACCATTGATAGGCTAAGCTATTCATTGTAGATTCGTTCGACCTAATTTATAATTGAATCTGATTGGACTGGACACTATCGCTGAAAGGAAGCTCCTAAAATTTAAGTTTCAAGACATTGCAGAGACTCACTCGACTCGCACTGGTTTCCCGTCTCACACTTTCTCTCTCCTGCTTCCGGGGCACAGAAAGGCACATCGCAATATTCAAATTGTAGGCCGGACCCTCCTGTGTCCTTGATGCTGCACCAGGGACCACCTGGACTCCCATTTGGGTTCCGACAGTAGTTGTGGGTGGCGGTGAGGGGATCCGAGAAGGTCAATCGCTTGCTTTCCTGGATTCTCTCATACTCCTGGTTTTTCGGATCCAGCCACGAATTGCATGGGAAACCAGAGATTGTTCGGCTCTTCACTCCCATGTATTCCCCTCCCTTCTGTGTCAGCTTGCACTCAGGTGCACCTGAATTCATGACCCAATGATACCGCATACTCTTTCAAGAACTTCATGACCTTCTAGTTAGACATCGTTAATAAAACATCGCATGGAATACGCATGAACTATCCTTACTGAGCCACTGATTGCACTTGAAACCATGTTCACAAAATGAAAGAAATATTAAAACTGGCACCCCATTAGGTTTTTATGGTACTAACTTCAGAAAAATCCTCAAGGGAGATTTTTTTTTGGGGAGGATCAGGATTGTTACTTCGATTTGGTTCTTTCCAGTTTTCCTTTTTTGAGGGCAAATTGCTCTCATGGTGTTAACTTCAAGATTAACCATTTTTGGTTCATATCCTCTCAGTGAAAATTTTTTTTTTATGGTGGACGGTTTTCCAAAATATATTAGATCCAGAGGAATGATATCAAAGCAGTATGTGAAAAGATTATCGAATTTTGGAAAGATATACCACATATAACTTTCTTAATTCCAGAAAATATGTTCATTGCTAGAGCATGTATTATTATTATTATTATTAGTCATTATAGGGGCACTATTCCGTTGGCGACATAATTAAAATATGTTACTCCCTCAAGTAGAGGAAACTTTGAAAATTCATATATTTTCCATGGGTTAAATGGGTTTGAGGCCCGATTTAAAAAGGATAGCATTAGCAAATTTGATGGCAACCAGATTTTCGGTGTCCGGTAAATTTATGAAATATATATTTACATGTGTACCTCCCCCGTGGGGACGCCATCTTACAAGGGAACGTGTTTCTTGGAATTTTTCCCTCATGCTTTTCCTGGATACATATCAAATTCAAACTTACGACTCAAGTAAATGAATCTTAAATTCAGCGAACAAGATTCACCATTGGATTCACCGCACTCAGAGTCTTTTTTTTTTAGAAGGGGGCGGGGGGTTCCAAATTGTACTTCCTCTTGGGGAAATACGTCTATAAGTTGTATCCGGGAAAGTAGTATGTATGCGGTATATAAATGATAACTTTCTCTATGTCGTTCACAAAGAAGATAAAACTTTGTTTACAACCTATGCCATAAAAGGTTGACATTTATTCTGAATGGGGTATTGCTCACCGTTTTTCCTTAGGGGTGGAAATGGCGAAGCATTTGCTACTTTTAAAAAATAGGGAGGGAAGTTTATCACACATTTGGAGATTTGTTGTGAGTCAAATTATGCTCTCGTTCAGGCTACGTCAAAATATGAGCTATGCGGACTCATTTCCTTTTCTAAATATTCTTTGAATATAAGATGGGAAGCGCCATTTTAATGGCCTTCCCACCACTATTATTTCGTTCAAGATGTAAGATGTCTTCTTCCAACCATCATGGAAGCCCATTTCTTACTAAATGTATCCCATCGTCTCTTGAGGAGGAAAAATCAGTTCGTCCATTGCTCTTAAATATAAAGGCCATTTTAGACCATACAGATGTTTTTCCTTACGCGTGTCATCGCAGAGGGGAATCCGACAATACTCGGAATGGATTTTGCCATCATCATCGACAAAACACCAGGGCCTGTTCTTCATCGTCGGATTTCTACAGAAGTTTTCATGCGAAGCTGGGTTCAAGTTTAAGAAAAACTCTTCGTAGAAGAGTTCCGGATATGCATCGAACTGGTATGTAGGATTCGCATCGTAGATTTTTTTCAGTTCGGGGGCATCCCATCTCAGGCATGATTTCCCTGTCTCTGTCACATTCACTTTCCCCTTGTATTCTTTCCCCTTCTCTGTCAGGAGGCAGTTCGGATACACCACCTTACCTAAGAAAGAAAATCATGAAAAAAGGATATGAGAAATAATTGTAAAAAAGGTGAACACATTGAAATGGAGATTACGATAATTAGGAAATTGTGAGCACGGAAATTCGGAAAATGAATTTTTCACAGAATGTAATGACGATTTAATCAATTTTTAATGGCAGATGTTCATAGTTGCCGAAAATATGCCATGACCGTACAATTTACGCAGAGCGTACTACAGAGTGCAGGTGCCGAGCAAAAACGCATACCTAGCTCTTACATGTTGAAAAGTAATTCTCCTTAATGTTCTCGTGAGAATTCTCCCTTGAGAGACTTAGGTCGAAAGAATCGTGGAGCAAGCAGGTGCACAGCAAGAATGCATTTAAATACCTGATATATTGGAAAGTGTTTCCCTTGAATTGTTTAATCTGACTTCTTACTTAGTAAGATGTCTAAAAAAACGTGGAGCCCGCTTGATATCATCTGTCCGCATGAAGAGTGTTCTGGCAGCGCCTTAGGGAATACGAGAATCCCATTGGTTCACTCTGGACATTTTTATTTTGACCGCTTTTGTAAATTCGATTCATAGTATATGATTTGAATTAGTGTCTCTTAATGAGAAAAATATAATATACCACTCACAAAAAGTTTACCAACTTCCAATGCTTATGGGTGGTACAAATTCATCTTGTTTCAAATACTCCCATTTGAACATGTCTTTTGCCATTGCCAATTATGTGGGAATTGTTTTTTTCTTCAATATGAAGTGAAAAATGAAAGCTTTCAAGAGAATTTCCTTCAATTTGAATACTTATGACAGCTACTAGGATGCTGCGGAACAATTCAGAATTTGGAAATAAATGCCCGGTGTGCACAAATTTCAAAGAGAGATGTTTTCAAATAATTTTTTCATCAGTTAAACTGATGAATATGTAAAGTTGAACATAGTATGAATGTAACTACTGAGACAAGGAGTTAAATGAAACTGTTAAGGCTCCATACATCCTTGGGGGAATTTTTCGAGGGTCGAGGTTTATAAAAAAAAATGACGTGGCGAATTGAACAGAAATGGAATGGTGAAACTTGGGATATGTATATGTGACACGATTTTATTGAGTTGAGGGAGTATTCAGCTTTCATGGTGCATTTCCTTCGGGCATAGCTTTTGAGTCGGTCGGCTTTTCTAAACATGTCTTTTTATCAACGAAAAGGGTAAATGTGTAATATTGAAACTTTGTGTGCATGTAGTTCACTGGGGATTTTTTTCGTTGAAAAACATATATATGGATCTTTTCGGTTAAAATAACTTAGGGCTCATATTTTGCAAAAGGCGCATTTTCACGAATTTTCTAATCCAGCAAAACAGAGTGTGCTAGAATGTTTAAACCTGGCAAAGAAGTACCTGATGGATATCTGAGTAAACTAAAAACTCTACTTTTATTACATGTAGACTTTCTTGAGCTGACTGATGTAAGTAGCTATTTGCATGCTGAGTTCAGGAAAAGTTCTACTTTGGTGATACATGCCATAGGGGCACACATTTCGGGGAACATATTTTCAAATAGTTCTATTTGCTTCAATCAAACGGAGACACATGCAAAGCCGAAACTTGGCAAGAACGTGACCGTTGACGCACAGAGCTCAAATGTCAAAACGTCACATTTCCAAAATATTGTTAGGGTTCATATTTCTTGGGGACGTAAAGTTTTCAAATAGTTTTCACATCCTACAGAATCGGGCAGAAATAGAAAAGTAGCTGGCGCACGCATAACTTACGTGATGTTGATTTCATGAAAAATTCAACATTTTTTTTGCGAGAGAATGTTGAAATTCTTTAACTCGCGAAGAGATTTCCCTCTGATGTCAAGTTAGTAACAAGCGCGAGTGCACGGTTACCTCTCCCCTCACCCAGTCGGCCAACCAACGCATAGTCTCGCCTGCTGCAGCTCACATTTCTCACGTCGTACCGACAATCATGGCCCAATATTTCAAGTTCTAGAAATTATTGGGAATGGTAATCATTTTAGTGCCACGCAGCCGATTCGTAGTCTGAAAATCCCGATAAACCGTTCACTTTCCCCCTTTTCGCAGTTTCTCTTTCCTCCCTTGCATTCGCCCTCTTCTTAACTGCCTCCTTCTCACGCTTCGTCTCTGAAACATGCTTACGTGGAGGTGGACACAGGAGAGCCGTTTCTTCTTTCACAAACGTCGTGCACCAAACATCAGGTACCGCGAGGGAACAAGTGGCCTCGTGTGTCTTGGATCCGTCGGTGAACCCTCGCGGGTGCTTGCAGGTGAAGGTAACCTTGCCACCAGGTTGAATTGGATTCTCGCCAGACCCACCCTCGAAAGCTTTCTCCGCGTTCTCGATGTTTGGGTAGGGTGTCAGGCATAGAACTGTACCCATGAAAATGAAGTGGAAGAGTTCATGTCCGTGTCCATCGAACGAATCTCCAAAAGGCTGAAATATACTCATCGCCAAAAGAAGACTTGACTATTAAGGAATTAGACTAAAATTCGTTAAACAAGCTCGTACTGGCATTCTATGAAATCGACTAGTTTCATGTGTGGGACGAATATTAACGGATAAAACTTGAAAATTATTCCTATATCAATACCAGTTGATAGGTTAATACTAATCGTCCGAAACGGTGACCTAGAAGGTTTAGGCTAGAAGGTTACCAGCGAAAGAGGTATATTACACTCTTGATCTCCTTCACCAGACATGTTTGAAACGTATCCCGTTTGCCCTGCCTCATGAAACATATAAATGTGGGTGTGATACATTTAACATGAAATTGTTTTGTGTCTCAGAATGAGAATGTATGTGAGGTGGGTTGTTCAAAAAAGTGGATTGGTACATTTTCCAGCGTCAATGCGTCGTTCATTCGAATTACAGTGAACTTGATTTCATATTCAGCCATATGTTAATGTGAAATGGGAAGAATAAGAAATATGAACTAGACATTATAGTTGCGAACAAATTGTGCGCAAAAAATGCACATCGCATGCACATGGAGAAACATGGAATTGCAACTCGGGGTCCTTACATTGGACATAGGCCATGTAGCCTTCTGGGAGGACGAGATTGCTCTGACCGGTGCGTATCAGTTGGCAGGAGCCATCCGATTCCCTAAAATTGAAGGCAAAGCAAGGCCCGGATGGGTTTTCCCTCGAGCATTCCCAAAGGCATTCCGCGAAGTTTCTCACGTTGATCTCCCGTGACACGTTCCCATATCGATGCCCTCGGTGCACGCCATAGTACACAGGGATTTCCGATGTTAATGCAGTCAGGAAAAGGCATGATATCACGGATAGCGTCAAGTGACAGCCCATATCCCTTCTAAGACATAAAAATCCCTTCGATGAAAGCCAAGTATATGGGGTACTTACTTTCCCTCATGAACCACCCTGAAGCAACAGATTCTGCTCACCATGAAAATGATCAAAATGAAAATGGATTCTTGCAGAAATGAATTCGAGGAAATTTGCAATTTGGTCTTACACGCCCGCTGGGTAAACATTTTTGGCCCGCAAAAAAAAATTCTTGGAATTTCCCCCGCAATATTCAAGGTTTTTTTTTTTTTTTTTTTTACAGGATGAGTAAAATTGCACCATTTCACCCAGAGAAAGCTGATTCTTACAATCTTGCAATACAAGGCGGTGTATTGAGGTGACAATTCAGAGATAAAGGATGAATCTCAATTTCGTTCATGTTCCTATCCATCACTCCAAGCCGGAGTAGCTTAAACCCACATTAGAAAACTAATGAC